GGATGGGGAAGGCAGGAAAGTTTGTGTGAAAGGTCCTCTAGCACAGAGAATAAAGAGGAGGAAGATGGCTGCAGAAAGAGCTTCTGAGCAGAGGGGAAAGCAGGGAGGTGCTGAAGATCACCACAGTCCAAACACTCCTGGGGTGCAGTTTGCCCCTTCTCAAGTACAGCTATTTTCTTGTATTAGTTTCACATAGGTTGCAGGTGTTGGTGGACTGACCTCCCACTTTTCTCATCTGCTCATTCCAGCACCCATTGATTGCTCCTAATCCTTCTCTCCAATGAAGTATTTTTTACAGGAATTAGGCTGAAGCCTGTATTTACTTACTCTCAGTTTAAAACTGGGGTCAAAGAAGTTGGATGTGTCAATGGAAAAGGCAGCAATGCCATTCTTGTCAGTGGTATAGTTGGCCAGATATTCTTCATTGAGCTCCAGCAGGACAGTCCTACCAGCAACGGGCTTGCCATCCACATTTGTCACAGTCACCTGAACACAAAGAATACCCAAGGGATTCAGAAAAAAACAACTCACAAAAAGCATGGGAAATGCTTACCAGAGGATGCTCACTTCAGCACTAAGGGCAATTGCAAGGAGTAGAAATCAAGAGTGAAATGTACTTAGGAGACAAATGCTCCTCAGTATTTTGAAGGAGCAGAAGTTCTGTGACAGGCAAAGGCAGCCAGCTCCCAGTGAGTGCAAGGATAAACTCTGTGTCACAGGAGGAGAAGGAATTGTTTATATACATGTTCTTGTATAAAAGATTCTTTTAATGATGAGTCCTCTGTTTCTCTATGTTTTTTCTCACTGTCTCTGTGAGATCTGTGTGATGCAATGCAAAGTAAATTCTACCTTCAGTTTATGCACAGCTTTTGCTGAAGTGGTTTCTTGCAGACTCTTCTTTCCCACTCACATGATCTTCCATTTACTCACCTTTTAGGCATTCTCTAACTATGCAGAAGAGAGACCCTAATACCCCAGGTATAACATAAATTTCTTATTTTCTTTGCAAGGATCTAGCAGAGCAAGAGAACGATGCAGCAGTCACTGTTACACAGCATTACCACAGGAAGCTGTCAGCATAGGAAGAACAGCCATAAATGGGGCAACACAGAGATCATCATGCTGGCCCTCAGGGAGTTTGGATCTAAAGCTATCTTCTCAGTTACTCACCTCCCCAGAGTAAGGAATTCCCCTCTTGTAATAGACATCCATATTCTTGAACATCACTCTGTCATTTTCTTCACTGACTGGGATGTGGTCATAGCCTTTCATCTGGATACCTGTGAGAAGCACCCAGTATAAAGGGGAGGAAACAGAAATCAGACACAGTGGGGGTTTTTTTTAACATTTTCTTCCCCCCAAGTACAGTGTCCTTTTCAAAACCATGAGGTTTTTCAAATCTACATGGAGCAGTGATGTTTTGGAGGAAGAGCTACACAAAGAAAATGATGCTTGCTGGTTGTTTGCCACACAGGTCGAGATCCAAGAGTTTCCTCTCAGAAAGTGCCACCTATGAGCTTTGATCAAATGCCCCCACCCTCCCCGTGGTGTTACCTGTCCCATTTTCAGTGACAGTGCTCTCCACGTTGAGGCTGGTGTACATCCTGGCATAGCTGCGGTAGAGCTGGAAGGTCTTGATGGAGATGGCAGCGTTGAGGCAGCCATCCTTCCCCAGCTGAAAAGGGACCATGAAGGGGAAAGCTCACTTGCCTCAAAGTTTGGAAAATTGCTTTTGAATCTTTGTTAGTAGCTCTCTGAAGAGCTTCGTTGCCCCTGCTCCTATCTTCTTCCTTTCTGCTCACCCCCCTCCCACCTTACACTCCTCACTGCCTGGCTCCCTTCCCAGCTCACTGTTCCAGCATCATTTACCCTTACACCTGGAAACCTCTCTCCTCATTCCCCCTAGTTGTCTCTGTGATCACCCTCCTCCATAAACCCATCTTGCCTAATGCCTGAGCTCTATGACAAGAGCACTTTGAGTCTGATCTAGTGGAGAAATTAATCCTTAGTTTAACACTGTG